CTCGTGTTCAAACTCCACAATGATCTTCAATTATTTAACGTATTGCTTCAAATGCTACTTAAGATTTGTCGCTTGTTTATGACCGTCGTGGAATGCTGGTCGAGACAAATCTCATTACAATCTTGGAGCTAGCCGAGATAAAGGAATCCTAGACGTTGGATGAGTAGATTTCAAAAGAGTTCGGGAAGACTTTGTACCAGCGCTCTGTTTATTATCTTGCTTCGCGATACACTGCAGCATTAGCGACTGCGCTGACGCGCTCTCAGTTAAGAAAGACATTGATAATCTCATAAATTGAGGAAGCTGCTACTATTCTTCCGGTCACTCAAGGAATTTCTCAGTGTTCTCTTCCGGTTCCTCTTTCCTGCTCGCTCCTCTTCTTAACTTTTTTTCACGTACTTACCTTGACAACTTGCTAGCCTATCCTGATAAATGTTGCCTGCTCTCTTGTATATTTCAATTCGTTCCGTTCTCAAATGATGGTTGCCCATGACACCAGCCTACTTCATGCACAGTGATGTTTCTGAGTGATGCACTTTCTCAGTGGTAACGATAACAGTGATAAAGATGCTCATGATCAACAGTGGTAATAATAACAGTGAGAAATGATAGTGATAGTGATCATAGTGACAGTGGTGATAGTGGTAGTGTTGGTAGTGATAATGATGACGGTAATATTGACGACAGTGATAATGCTGATGATGATAGTGGTGGTAGTGATAACGATGATGGTGATAATGATGATAAAGATAGTGGTAGTGATAGTGACAGTGATAGTGGGTAGTGATATTGATAGTGTTAGTGACAGTGATAGTGACAATTATAGCGACAGTGATAGTGGTAGTGATAGTGATGGTGATTGCGATAGTGACGCTGATAGTAGCAGTGACAGCTCCCTAGTAAGTGGTTGTCCATACTCAGGAATACTCTCCACTGCCTTTGTTAGCACTCTCAATTTCCCACAATCTCACTCGCCTACCGAGACGAAAGCGTGGAATGAAAGCGCTTGCTGCAACAGAGCGCAGGCACAACGACAGTTTCGCACAAAGACGCACATGCCCCGGTTGGCGAGTGCCGCGTAAGCGATAGCGCGACGCCGCTTGCCTATCAACGGTGGTCGTCAGAGTGTTAAATCTCTGCGGTAATAGTGTACTTGGCTTCTCGAAAGGATTTTTTGTGCGTTGTAGCAGCCAGAAGAAGGTTGTGTTTCGCAATAGGCGTGCTTTTCTTATCGACTAGAGTAAGTGAGTGGCTCCAACATTGATCGCGTGGTTTATTGATCGTGCAGTAGCGTGCGATTTTTGTTGTTTAAAACTAGGAGGCCTTCTCTTCTCTTTGATTTTACTCCACGTGAAACGAAGGACTCTCATAATCCAAGATTTCCTCTAAACGTTCATATGCATTCCAAGCATCGACTTACGCTGCTTAAGCTTCGACTTAGGTTTGACGACAAGTTTATCTGGCATTATAAAACGAAAATGAAAGTTCACATTGATACAAGAATACGAAAAACAATTTTTTTTTCGATCGTCGAGTGACTCGAGCGAGCATCAGCAACGCTTCCATTTTTCCCTATCGCGTGCAAGAGTAGCCCAATGGGTCCTCCTCGCTTTAGGGATTCGATCAATGGGCATCATATCTTTATTCTATCCTTTTCTTGTAGAATTTGAAGCATCAGCTCGGTGGTCTTCCTGTAGAGCGCTTGTTATTTCGAGGATTTCAGTCGATGACGGCTCTCGTCAATCGATTGTCATTGAAGCGCTCACGTATACGACCCACCTTATTTTCGATATCCTGGTGTGTAGAACGACGTCTCTGACCTTCGACCGTTGACTTCAGTCGAGACTTCTATTCATTCTCTTTCAAATAAGTAACGAAAACCGCGCCCTTTTTTGGAGATACTGAGATTGCTGCGCACAGAGCAGTTTGACGGCGCGCGATAATGCGCGCTGAAGTCGAAAGGTAATTTTTTTTTGGCTGCAATACGCTCTAAGTAGATCTAGTCAGAAGCTAAGTTACATCGCTGAAATAAGCGAGATTTACCTGTTTGAATGATTTCGCGGTTTTGAGGAAAAGCACTGTCCAGTGAAAGGAAGCCGAATGTGAAACTAATTTTGCCTTTGCTGCTACAGCAGAATAAAAAAGCTATCTCAGTAAAAAAAAAGAATATCGTTGAAAATTTACGAGTTCGAGCTATCGTATCACTACTATGGTTTAAAAAAAAACAGCAGAAAAGTCGTGAGTGCCAAATTATTAAACATGGTTGAAGATAATATAAACGTGCCTCAAGCTGTCATGCCGTCATTTGAATTCTCTGTTAAGACTGTAATACGTAGGAAAATTATGACAGCTCTTCATAAAATGAAAGCAGCTACTAATAAATGCAGGAAAGTTGATTTATCTGAATTTATCTAAATTGGTAACCTTTTATTGAAGAAAGAAATCTGACTGCGTAATCAAAAAGTATATCATCATAACTAAAGAGGATACTTTTGTAGTGCCCCACACAAAATTTCTTCAAAAAAATTCTCCTATGCCTAACAGACATCTTAGCTAGTAATTATAACTGAAAAAGCTGGAGGTATAAACAATATTCTTAATTTGACCTTATCAGATTGGACAAAATTTCCATTCTTTCTAAGTTTTTTTTCTGAATTTCAAAAATCACCAGGCTTCGTTAGAGAACTAAGTTTTCAATCTTAATTTCAGTCACCACGTCAAGGCCTCGAAAATGCGGAAACGTAGGCGACACCGAGTACTGCCATTACGAAAACGAGACTGAAATCTGTGGTCAGTGCTTTTACTGCTTCGATCGCGTACCCAATAATGCTGATGATACGATGAAACATCTTCTTAAATAAGTATAGGTTAGATTAAACACCGACCAATTTAATCTGGATAGCGTTGTTAGAATTTAGATTTTTTTGGTCCAAATGCATACTTCAGTCACGTTTCGTTACTAAATGGAACTAACCGATTGATTTGCATAAGCATTTTCAGATATCTGTGTCGGTGTGATTTGCCCTCAAGGGAAGAAATGTGTGAAGAAAGAGAAAGTTTGCGAACCTTCCTGCATCTGTATCAACGACTTCGATATCGAAGTCGAGAACGGCACCTGTCGGAGTACGTTTTCTATAGCGGCCATCCAGCTTATACCTTTATATTTAGTCCCTTTACAAACTACCTTTAACAGCCTCATGGCGTTTCCTTTCCTTTTGTCTTTGAAAAGTGCGTATTACTAAATGTTGCTCTCTAAAGCATGCTTAACCTTAACTTAAAGAACGATCGCCGTTCACCATCGGCTTCCAGATGAGGTGGCAAGCACCGTCGCAACGGTCTTATAGCCTAATATGAGCGGTGGTGTTTGGATGTGGACGCATTTTAACCGCATCGTTCGCGATTTTAGATCCATGCGAGTTATACCAATGCAAGAATAATGGGCAATGCATTGCGGACGTGACACGACCATCGAAATTCCGATGTGTGTGCAGCGACGAGTACGAAGGCGAAGTCTGCGAAGACAGTACGCAAGTTTTTTTTTCTCAACAACAAAATTATGTTCCTCTTTTTTCATTCTTTCATAATGTCCGATTTTTTTTGTGCTCTCTACAACTAAACAAAAATGAACAATTTACAAGTATCTCAGGCAGATCTTGATCAAAAATAGCAGTTGACAGAAAGTAAGAATCGCTTAATTTAGCAAGTACTGGTATAAGAAGATCGAAATCCATCACGAAGATTTCGACTTAGCTTGGAATGACAACATGACGAATTTGCTGTAATTGAGAACCAAAACTACTTTTGAAGGTTTTAATATCGAAAGACCGGCTTTCTATTGCTCTTGCCATTGATCAGTAAGTTGACGCTGCCTTGACTAGCAGGCACGGTTCTTTCAATAACAAGATTTACTCAGTACTAACTGAGATTTTAGGGTTTCGACTTTCGTAGAACCTGGAAGACTCGATCTGATCGTAATTTACTCAGCTAAAGATTTTTGCGATCCAGATAGCAAAGAACCCCGCGCGAAGTTCGAACAGTGAACATTTATTTTGAGCACTTAACGTTAAGAACAACGTTCATGGGAATGCTGGGAATTGAGCAGAACTGGCAGCCACAACTGTGCTGTGAACCCGAGATTACCTTTCCCTGGGCTTACCTAATATCCTCACAACAGTGAGGCTCCTACATTGTTTTTTTTTTCTCTCGCTCGTGTTTTTACTCCCGCCTTTCTCTCTATCTCTTTTTTTTATTACTCTTTAATCTCTCTTTATCCGCCTTACTTCTTTCACTCTTACGTTTCGATTACTTTTCCAAAGCATGGCCAATCAACGAAAGGATGTAGCCTACGGCTTTCTTGAGTCATCTTTATCATTGCTAACTTTTTTACTTAATGCTCATTTAATGGTAACGATGTAATTTCGCCCACGACTCTAGCTTAACTGGATTTAGTGTCGAGTGAAGCTTATTAGATCAATTGTGTTGACGGAATTACTAAATTCCACCGATTATGGATCAAACACAGTTAAGAGGAAGACTTCTCGATATTGTTTTGGGGGCGGGTGGTACTCCGGAAAGGCATAGCGGCGGCTCGAGCCGATGGCACAGTTCAGGTTCACGATTTGCTCGTATCTCAGTTTATGTTCTTCCCAACTAGCGTCAAAGACCAAGCGTATGATGTTATAAGTTAGCAAAATATTCAACTTAGTGCACTATACATTAATTTCATTTTTCAAGCTTCTGAAGTAGGTCGTGGAAAGGCAGCTATCGTGGATAAGTAGTGTAATAAGTACCTCGTGTCTGCTCATCAAAAAAAAAAAACGGTTTAAACAAAAAGAGCACTCGATTACATACATCCAATATCTCTCAACGTGATTAGTTGAGAGCCTTACAAATGTCCCATATGACATATGTGACATATGTGCTTACCATGCCAAACAGTTGACAGTTAGATGCTATCTAATCTATGCTCTGTATCGCAGAAAAGTGGTGGCGAAACAGGAGCCTCGGCAGCGCAGTTGGTTAGCACGAACCCCTGTAAAGAGTGAAATGAGAGTTCGATTCTCGTTTGAGGCACAAAGTCTTACACATAACACAGTATTATTATATATGTGATTGTAATCTCATGCCACTGCTCAAAGAGCGCAAGTGGCGCAGTGGTTGGAGGTGTCCGCGTCGCACACGAGGTCAATGGTTCGATCTGGAGCTCATGTCTCACCAAACCATCCTCTGTGCGGAGTCGCTAAATTGGTACCAGACAGGTCTCAGACTTGTCTGGGAGAACAAGCAGCACTGACTCGGCACAGCGGGAGGCTACCGCGAATCATTGTAAAAGGCCAAGTATGATTCACACCTCAAACGAGGTTAATAATTGAAGACGAATACATGTCGCATTTCTCAGGGATTGATCAACGCCGAGAGCTTTATCCTCATTGCACTGCTCATGGAGCGGTAAAAGAGACATTTCTGGCCCTATAACTTGAAACATACAAGATATCTCATTATTCTTAAATTGTTGTCACAAGCTAAAATGAAGGGAAGTGATTACTACTCCACTTGACTGTGATCTCTCAAAAAAACCAACTTAACGCATGTTTAATAGCGTATTGAAGAAAATAAAGTTATTTCTCCATTCACGTTTCAGATCACAACTTCTGCTTGGATCCACAGCCGTCATTTTGCCCCTTAGGACAGTACGAGTGTATAATGCACGGTTTCCGAAACTACACGTGTGAATGTGCTCAAGGATTCTTCTACAACACTACCGGCAAGAATTGCGTAAAAAGTAAGCTGCATTGTTGCATTTGTAACATTATAACAATGCACGGTACACTTTTATTATTCGTAATCATTTCAAGCCCTTTGGAGAAAACACGTTTTCAGCTTTTTTGAGGAGTTTCAGCAGTTATCCCATAGCTTGGATCTGAACAATTTTTATGATGCACATCGCCTCTAAAATGGCTTTTCAGCGCGCTGTAGCAAGAAAAGTAAGATTAAGTTTCACACTCGGCGCGTTTATCGCTGACCAGAGCCTTCCTCTGAGCTTTTAGTATCATTCAAAAGATTGAATCTTAACAATTTTAACACCATACGTATATCTAAAAAGACTTTTATTGGGCCATGGCAGGCATAATTAGGTTTAGTTTCACACCTGGCGTAGTTTTTGCTCGGTAAGGTTTGTGAGTGGAAATTGCAACATTCGCAATAAGCGGCGCCGACACCTTTGCTCGGCCACGGTTTATGGATGATCTTTTAGCAGACTTTTAGTAGTAATTTGAGAACATAAAGTGGCAAAATACTGGGCAGAGGACAGCCGTGCGTGTAAGCAGGTGGAAAAGAGTTTAGTACAGTAGACCACGTTGACCAGAAAATAGGGATTCGTCAAAGTACCGTGAAAGTACAAGAGACCGCTGTGTCTTACTTCCATTGACACAAGAGAAGACGTTGCTTCAGTTGGAACAGAAAAGCAGTACATTTCTGAATCACTTCCTTTACATCGGCATAAAAAATCAAGACAGCTATAGGAGTTTTGAGCAGCCAAGGCGTCTCAACGCGTTACATAGAAATTATTCATAAGCTACATAAAATCTCACAACACCAAATGTCACCATTACCTAATAATATTGATAAGCTGTCCGATAACTTCTTTCGCATTATTGCTTTGTTCAGTTTTGCCTTTTCGATGTCGGTTTATTACAAGAAGCTGTGGCGTGTTGGAGAATATTTTAGCAGCTTTAGGCGGGGAAAGGTACTGAAATGTTGATTTTGAATTCCATTCATATCTCAGAGTATGGAGTATCTTCGAATACTCCAATTACCGGATGTGGTGTAGAGCTTCTAGGCTACTCTTGCCGAGATCGGGATAAATGAAAGTTTCACTAGGGCCGGTCAAATCTGTTGACGATCAGTTGGACGACAGGTCATAAGCAATGTACACTGCAACATTCATGATGTTTGGTCTTCAAGATTTTTGGGGCATCTTTCTTCACTAATTACCTCTCCGTGGTCTTCACATTGGTAGCCTGGAGTGCATTTGATGGTGTGATACCATCCTTTTTGTCAGGCAGTTTACCTGAATCCGAGCGATGCTGCAGATCTAGGAATTCCTTGTTTTTTTTAACTACATTATTTTGGCAGCATACTCCGAAATCCCAATTCGATGTTTTCTAGTAATCCTGTGAGCAATATTTCCGTTTGATAAGTGGCAAAATGGCTTTTCTGAGGACTAGACATACTCAATAATTGCTTCTTATTCTTTGAGCTTGCCCTCCCTTGATCTGCTCCGACCTAATTCCTTGTAGCTCTCGTTCACTTGGTTAGAAAGTATCTGGGAAACCGACATAATGAAGATGAAAACTCTGCTTCAAAAACTCTTTCATACCCAAGCGTGCCCACCTGAGCACTTGGCATACGCCTACGTGTAAGGCCTAAGCCAAAACAGTTGAATCCTCCTAAGCCCCTAGGATGGATAAAGTCATTTATACCACGCGTTTAACCCTCCATTCGCAATGTGGAAACGCACCATATCGTTTTAAAACCAACCGATTGGAGATCCCTGAATGAGTTTTGTAACTTTGTTGATAAATAGGTAATTTGAATAGGAATTATTGTACTTTTGAAAAAGCTTCAAAATATCATTATTTGATGTACTTTAGTCGGGCAACACGTGAAAATCACATTGTACTTCAAAGAAATACCGTATTCGGAGATTTACAACAATATCTCATACAAGGAGGCTGTAACGGCGAGAAGGTTGATTCATTCAGCGGTGAGTTAAATAGGTTCGATAGAGGGAGAAAGTGGCGAAATCTGTAGGACACAGATCCAGATGCAGTGAGTAAAAGTAGTGGTGTCTTACCAATTTTGACACAAACGAGTTGAAAAATAAGTCAGAAAGTGAACTACCATTATTTTGACCGGAAACGTAGAAGTTCATTCTTTTGTGAATAACCAGAATAAATTTGAAGAACGTTTATATAAGTGTCTCAACAACAAACTGTTCTTCAGTGACGACAAAGTCTGCTTAGAATTAGAACATCATTTAGAATACTTATATAAAGTAGTAACATTGCATCATGAAAACAAAGAGTAATTTTTTTTATTGGTAAAACTGGTGTGGAGATCTTTCACATATCGAGCCTAATATCAAAATTAGTGCTCTTCAAGCCATTGAATGAATAAAAACCCTAACATTTGAAAACACGTGGATGTTCGTAGAACTTAGGAGATTTTTGATACATGGGCATTCTTTATACAATGAAAACTTTCATAGGAGTCTTCTTTATGATATTTCACCAATTAATGATGATACCATCTTCTCAGAACCTTAATCTACCAAATAAATACCTAGATTTCATTGCAGCGTGCGGAAATACAAAATTTTCGCTGCGCTCGGCAGGCGAGTGGTTGATGGCATATACATACATATAGCACCTTAGACTCAAGGGGTTTACTAACCTACTCACACTAGATAGTTTAGCTCGAACTTCTTTATGGAAGTCACATGATCAAACTGGTGTTCAATAATTTCACACAAGGATCGCTGGTGGCACATTTAGAACTGATGCTAAAACTCGACAATTCCGGAGAGTTGCGCGCGAATGAACGTATTTTCAAGGTACGCTCATCTTTTGTTCACTAACTTTGGTGATATGCGTGGAGTAAGGAATAAAGGTGACCTGTAATAAGAACGTGTTCGCTACTTCGATCATGAGCTCCAATCTTATCAAGCTCTTCGTCTCTCTGACGCTTGAAAATTCCTACCAATTCGAGATGGGAGGATAGAAGCGCATCCTGATAGAGCAATGCACCATTGCCAGTTTTTACGCAGATTAGATATGCATTCAATTCTCTTTAGCGATACTTGATGAATTTCAATATATAGCGCATCTCTCAAACACTGATCAACATCGAGCGCGTCATCCTCTTATATTTATGCATTTCAGCAGTTTCTCGTTGACTGCGACACAAAAAGCCTACCATGCTTCGGAGAACTAGGAAAAGCATACCTTCCATATAAAGGATGGACAGCTACGGTAATATTTACATCACACAAAGTTATCATAATCATTAGTTACATTATTATTACTATCATGGTTGCAACTATAATTATTATTGAACAATCAATGCAATCGACTATTTTGAGACTTCGCTCGAAGGCAACATAATTTGAAGGAACATTGTGGTGATTTTCTCACCATATGTTAAGTGTGAAAAGTTCGTCGTCGCTTCCTCTATGCAGGGGTAGATCCCAGACTAACTGAGTGAACGAAAAGGCACCGTGCAACTGATGAGGCTAGAGGGCCGAAGCATGTGTCTTGCACTGTATAAGTGCCGATAACAGGCTTAATGATATGCTCAAAATACATTGTCAGATTATAACCATTATTTTTATTTTTGTTACAAGTTACCAATGATATCATTTACTAACAAATTGGCGACCATATGACACGATTGGTGTCACGCTATAGTATGGTTCACAAAGAACTGTCACCAAATTATACCTAGTCCACTGATAAATTTTCAAAAACTGACCAAAAGTGGGTCGCGAAGAAATTTTTTGTACTTGATAATCACAATAGCATCTTTCGGATTGTATATCCTTAAGAATCTTCTAGCTATTTTTTCTCAAACATAGGCCGAATGCATCTACCGATTTGTTCCCACGGATGAAGCACACTGTAACAAAAAGAAATCCTCAAAATAATTCTGTTTAAAGCATTAAAAGGTATATGTGATTGCCTTTATAGTGCTCTCGAGAAACAATCGGTCAAAATTGTCCATTGAATTTTCTTCTCATTTTGGCCCTTCTAGATCGACGTCGTTAATGTACCATTGCCTATATCAATCAAAATGATTTTCAGATTTTCTCATAAGTTTTGGCATTAGAACGATAAACAATAGATTTGTTGATGTACATAGACTACTGAAAGTCATAGATAGCCGTAATCTCGACAATTTCGGTGCTAAAACTGCTCTATGAAACGAATTGTTAGAGCAATAAGAAAATCATTTTCTGCACTCGAAGTATTTAGCTCGTCGCTTGAACTTTATAGCTTATTTATATTGACAATGTG